AATTTATGGCACTTCATGACAAATGTTGTTGCTGATTTGTGAGCTGGGCCAGCAGTTTTTCTATAAATAACTGCCCAGAGGCATTGCAAATATGGACGCAGAAAAAACTGACTTTCCTTGTAAGGGACTTTGGTTTCCCCAGTTTTTATAGACCTCTTTGGTATAAAGAGACAAATAGACATGAATATTTTGGCAAGCATTTAAGAGTTGTTTAGGGGTCTACCACACCATTGGGTGCTGTAGGGACGACATATTTTTGTAGGTAAAAACCCAGAAACTAGTTTTTTTTATCATTCTAATATGCTGATTTGCTGCTCCAGAAACACTTCTCATTATTATCAATGTTGAAAACATTTGTGCTGCTTAATATTTTTGAGGAAACTATTTTTTCAACAATTCTCTTATGAATATTTGAAATGGTCCTTTGTGTTAGAGCGCTGGAGTTTCGTCAGAAGTAGAATGCGGCATCACTTTTCACTTTACTGTCATGGATTTGTATATTTGTCTATATAATTTGTGTAATAAGTATTTTCATAATCTGCTTTACGTTTACCTGGCACTGGAAGTCCTTTCCCAAACTTGTAACTTACATGCTTAGAGCAGAACCATGCATCGTTCATTTATATTTCTACATGGCTCCCTGCAATACAACTCTGATTCTTCAATCGTGCCATCTAGTGGTTTGTTATTGATACAACCACAACTGATAACGGAGCACTCAAGCGGGTAGTCCGAGTAGGGCTGGGTATCGAGTTCGATACTTTTTAGACACCGACCGAATTACCTTGATACCATCGAGTATCGATAAACGTCTCGTCGTTTGGTACCAAATTTCAATACCTAAGGGGTTAATCTCATCAATGTCAGTGAGGCGCAGATCGATCAGTGTTTGACATCCGCGAGAGTGATGCGAAACGTACAGAGCAGTCTGCTCGTGGTATCATACTATAGCCTAATACACCGATAGGTCTGCACAGTCGGTCCGTGACTGTGACACTCAGAGATGTGGCTCACACGTGAGTATTTAGTGTGAATGCGTCCCAGCCCCCGTAGCTGTAAGGCTACATTTACACTGGTGCGCTTTTGTTTTAAAATGAAAACGATCCTCCTGCTGAGGCGAGGCTCCCGCAGCCTCTCCAGGAGAAATCAAAACACTAAGAAACTCAGCATCCTGAGGTAAAAATTCAAAATGGAAAGTTTTTATATTTAAAATACAGTTAGTCAGGCAACATCACACAACGTTTTCACCATTACAACTGTTTAATAGTTTTATAAACAGCTCAATAAGCAAATACAATAATATCAGGTCACTTACATTTTAGGCAGAAACCGCGCATCTCACAGCAACCAGCCGATTCATTGCTGATTGATTCCGTGTTTTGAACGAATCGGTTGAGTCAAAGTTTCATTAGCCCATGCATAAACATCCGATGAATCTGCCGTCTAGTGTAAATGTAGCTAACAGATGTGTAAACTGAAGACTATTTGAGCTTTATTAAAACTATTTGCACTGATTTTTTGTTTGTTACATTTTGTTCCTTTGTGCAGTGGCTTTGAGTCTGTATAAACATCAACAAGCTGAAAAATAAAACCAAAGTTTTTTTTTTAGATAATGTAATCTTGTTCAAATAGATTTCATCAAATTGGTATCGAAAAAAGTATCGTTCAGGAACCGGTATCAAAGTCAAGGTATCGGTATCGATATCGAAAATTTTTGAACAATACCCAGCCCTAACTGCGAGTCATGTTGAGTCCTTAAAATGTGTCAAATTAATATTTTGCATTCAATTATTTACTTATCAGGCAAGTGGCCGCATGATAAGCTGGAAAATTACCCAGTGTAGTCTTTATCACCCTGCAGAGGTTTCTTTTGCAAAATAATCTGCTGACTGTACACTATGCCTCAGTTTGGGAACCACTGGTGTAGGCGATTTGTGCTCTATATATTTGGTCTGTTACGATGCTTTGTGTTTGATTACTAATGCCTGTGTAGTACGGCGTTGCACACAGAGGACAAAAACGTTCAGCCTCGTCTCTTTATCGTCATTTGTGTTCAAATTTGCAAAGCGTACCAAATTGAACAAAACAATATAAATGCAAAATTTGAATTCATGAATATATAACGGTATCCACGGTATAGTAAAATCCATATCATGGAACAACATAATACCGGTAGTCATGTTAATACCGGTATAGCGCCCACCCCTAATCTCGGCCAAATATTGTCCTATCCTAACAAACCATACATCAATGGAAAGCTTATTTATTCAGCTTTCAGATGATGAATAAATCTCAATTTAAAAAAATGGACCCTTATGACTGGTTTTGTGGTCCAGGGTCACATTTCTTAAAAAAGAAAAAAGTCTTACTGACCACAAACTTTTGATTGGTAGCACCAAATAAGCTAATGGGTTGTGGGTGATTGTCATGGTGTTTCTTTGTGATTGCTAATGCGTTTTAGTGATTTGAAGTAGGGATGCTCCGATCCGCCTTTTTCGCCTCCGATACCGATTCCGATACCTAGGGTTCGGTATTGGCCGATACAGATACCGATCCGATACCAGTGAAGTTTTTTTCCCCCATTTAAATAAATTTAGAATTTATAAATCTCTGTGTGTGGAACTGATAATCATTCTTTCACACTCTACTAGATAGAGACTACTTCATTATAAAGAAAAATAAAATAAACAATAAATATGAAAAAATATAGGCCTGTGTATGTTTATAATTTATGACAAAAATGGATCATAAACTAGGTTAGTGGATAATTCGGCAGCAAAAGTTATTCTAGAAAAATCAGTGCACAATAATTTTTGAAATCCAAACATTTAGTGAAAAAACAATATTTTGTTGGGAACCAATAAAAGTGTTGCACTAAATATGGTAAAATGTTACACATAGCTATTTATATTATAAAATCCATTCATTACACAGCCTGACACCGTGTTGCTTCAAGCGCATCATTCTGCACACCGGATGCGCACATTGTAAGCGCTTCATGTTAAAAACTGCAAAGCACAAAGGGGAAGAGAAATTGATGCGTAGTGTATTATATCTGTGCAACAGTTATTGAGCCTTTCTTTTAACAGTTTTAAATTTCAGTTACTGTGCACGTTAAAAACAATTGATAGTCTTTTCTACGCCTGTGTTTTGTTCTCACAGACACCCGGTAGCAAGTAACAAAACAACATTAAACTCCGGCAAGAAGATAAAGTCCTTTTTGCAAAATCATAGACATGTATTTACAAATCAAGTATAATTGGAACACAGAATGATCTTGGAGAGAGCTTTACCGAACTGACTGTCGTAACCAAATGCGACTAGAGTTTAAAGGCTGAACGAATGACTGACAGCCACAGCGGAGAAAATAGTTTGTGTGAACTTTAATGTAAGGACTTAAATATTCATATGTAGCTCACGTTAAGCTATCGTATGGCTTCAGAAGTAACACAGAATAATTCGCACAATCGGGGAAAAAAAAAATTTCAGATTTGGATCGGCCCTCTCTGACCAATACCCGATCCGAGAAAAATGGCACTATCGGAGCCGATACCCGATATGAATATCGGATCGGCGCATCCCTAATTTGAAGCATGTTGCTGCTGTGGTTCCAAGGGCATTCTAGATCATTTCTTGGTCCAGTTTGGTTGACTTAGAAAAGTAATAACACACCTCTCATCAACAAGTCACACATTTTGAAGAACCACAAAAGATGTGTGGTGTGAGGACACAGCAAAGTTTGATACTAAGTGTAGAAGTCTCTACTCTGCTGTATTTATATTTTTGGAGGTTATGGAGGCTATGGCCTGTCAGTGCACTCATTACATACACACACAGACACATCAGTGGTGCAAGAGGAAGTGAGTCAGTCCCTGTTGATTTCAGTATCTCACTCTGTAGCTGTGGCAACATGGTTGTCATAGAGACTGGTTCCGGTGTCTGCGTGTTTGAGGGAATGAGTGCGTGACATAGTGGGAGAAAAAGAAACTCCACTGTATTCATAGTGGGCAGATACTTTCAGAATAGTCATAGTCTTATATTAGCGTTTAGGTGTCCTCATTTGTCCTGCTGTGATATCACATCTTTACAGTTTGACTGCACTTTAATAAATCAGTTAAAACACCAACACCATTGCTACTCTTGACGTCATTTATCAGGCTTTTGCCTGGAGGACGAGAGAAAGTTTTCTTCTCAGGCCTTGTTGAGTTGACAGTATTTGCCCTCGGGCTTGATTCAGAAATGCTGGAATGCTTGGAGTTTGCAGTGATCATGACGTGCAACAGTCTGTGGTATGATGGGAATTTCACAGGTTTATATGCAGTGTCTGAAAGCAAATGCTTGTGAATTTGTGTTAGTTGTTAGAATACCAAAGTGCAGATATTTCCAAAATGGCTTTTATCATTGGTTTATTTCCATATCACTGTCTGCTATAAAGCCTGAAGGCCTGCTCTGTGTGATGTGCTCAAGTGTGTCTCTGAGCTGTGCAATGCAAATTCTGCACCTACAGTATTTTGTACTCTCCATTTCTATCTTTCAACTGTGCCATTTCTTATTTTACATTCTTATGAAAAATGGTAATCTAAACCAGATTAGGGTTCTTCTGCTTGTAACAACAGCAGAACCTTTTCATAAGGTTCCATAGAGAACCATGCTTTGAAAGTGCTATAACTTAAAAAAAACAACTAAATAATAGTTGTTATAAGTTTTCATATTTAAACATTGAATTTTTTAACATCTTTATTTGTCTGGGTCCATTAACACCCTCTAGCCTCTATTACATTAATAAAGCTGACAGCAAGGGACTTTTATTTTGTATTGACATGGGAAATTGTACCAAAAATGAAGAATTACATAACAAAAAAAAAACAATAATAAAAATAAAACCCCAAGAGCAAGTTCCAGTGAAATATCTTCATAATCCTCTATTATCTTTCATTCTTCACAGATGATGAGGTTGTGAGATGTGGCAGCATCTGTCTGTGTAGAAATAAACATTTTAGTCACAGTGTGTCTCTTCCATTTGTTTAAGTAAAAGCAATTTTGTTTACGAAGACCAAAAGTAGCTTAGATATTGTGAATGGTCCGTATGTAAGCCCTTTAAAATAATAGAATGAAAATGTAATATAAAATGGGATAGCATTAATGTAACTAATGTATCTAACACTAGCTTGCTCTTTTATTCTATCTTTCTATTCAATCTGTTTTCTTTTTATTTATTATATAATAAAAAAAACCCTTGCTACGTGTACTGCTTTAAGCTAACTGAGACTTGTTATAGCACTTGCATATCATTGCTGTTTTGTTGATTTTGATTGCTTCCATTGTCCTCATTTGTAAGTCGCTTTGGATAAAAGCGTCTGCTAAATGACTAAATGTAATGTTTTTGTGACTGTTTGTGCCATGTTTATACATAAACCCAAGTAATAATCAAAAACTCTAACCTTAAACTTAAGCATAGAATGGTTCTATGGCACAAGGTCACAGCTGTGCAGGTAGAGCTAGTAATGGATTACCCTTGGGAGTCAGTCATTTTTGGTTACCTAGCAGTTCAGATGCTTTTTGTTTTGTTTGTTCATTTTACAATTTTGTCTAGTGAAATGTTCTTGGGGAATGTTGTCTAACATGTCTCCGGTATGCTATCTATTCAAAGTCATGCCCAATCCAATGTCTCCTGCATGGTCTTCCAAGAGAAACATACTTGGGTGATCTGATGTGAATCTACTGTAAATTACATTCAGTGATAGAAAACAAAGATGGCTTTGTAGGTTAGGGTTGCATGATTCATAAAAATAAAATTGAATTCCCAGTATGGCAAAGGGTGTGATTTAATGAAATGAAGACAAATGTTTGAAAATTTGTTAAAATTTGAAAATGAATATTAGAATATTAGTATTATAATTGTACAGTTGCATATTATTTTTTGCCAAATTGTGTGGCCCCACAAACACATCTACCCAAAAAATGATGTTAATATATTATTTAGTGGTCGACCAATATTGTTTTTTTTGACAGCCGATGCCGATATCTTGAAAATCAGGGTGGCCGATATAAAGCCAATATAATTGTTTTAAATTTTAAATTAAAAAATAAATGTTAAACATATTTATACTTTAGATGACAAAGTATTTTTCACAAATAAATATTTAATAAAAATATAATTAAAAATGAAGTAAACACTGTAACCAACAGGACACTCAGTATTCTGGGAAGTTTGTGTGCATATTAATCAAATTTTTTTTTTCAAATAAAGCCAAGGTAACACTCATTTTACATACAGCACACAGTGAAAATGACATGACTATGACAGGAACTTGAGTGGCGCCCAAATCAAAAAAATCAATAAAACCAAATCATTCCCATAAAGCTCCCCAAGTCCTCTAGCCTAACTAACAAAAGAAAAATGTAGAAAAGAAACCGAAGTCTTCAGCGTAACGCGGGCAAATGCATAAAGCGCAGCATAATTTTAAATCACGAGTTTAAAATTTGTCGATTGCGTGTCTCCAGTGAAGCTGAACTCTCCTGTCAGCATTCACTTCACACGGATCGACCGTCACGCAGAGAACACGCGATCATGCAGGATACAAATGCACACTTCACAAGATCTCACAACTGGATCCGACTAAGTTTGCAAGGTTTTTGAAATTAGATGTTCATTAGACAAGATTTGTTTAAATGATATAAATGCGTATTTGCTGAATGCTGACGGCAAACAAGAAAGTATTATAATGTTTGCCTTTCTATTACTAATAATATAAAAGCAATCGTTATAATACTTTTTATATACATTTTAATTCCTTTGTTTAACCGTTCTATCTGATTATTAGACAGATGTATTAGATAATCCATATTAGACAGAACCGAACAACAAAAGCAAACCTGAGCGAGAGGCAGGCCTGTGCTCAGGCGCTGCCGTTCTCAGCGCGTCAAAATAAAAGTCGCATATTTTGAACGCATCGGCCCAACAGGAAAACTTATCGGCCGATGCCGATATTTAAAAAAATGCCAAATATATATATCGGTCGACCACTACATGATGGTTGCACCACATAACATTTAAATTTTTTTTAAAAGGGTAAAAAAAATAGTACTTTTTTTTTTAAAGAGTACATTTGGAGTATGTATCTAAGAACTTGCCATGTTTTAAACAAATGTTTTAAAAGATTTTTATTTTATTGTTGAGGCTCTTATTTGCCATTGACCTACAGGTCAACATTGGAAGTGTAAAGCATCTTCTCTGTATGAGATCTCTGTGTCACGAGGTCAACAGGCAGCTTGCTGTAGTTTTTCGAAGTGTTATGCAAACCTCTCATTTTGACTGCTGTTAATTGTAGGTTTCTGTAGGATACAGGGAAAGAGAAGCATGAGAGAGGGTTGTGAGAAGATAACCAATGGTGTATATGTGTCAGCACAGTTGTCCACGAGGCAGTATGGTTCACCGCTGCTATTACTGGCATTCACGCTGGGATGTGTGAATATTTGGTTCAGCCCTTCAGAACTGCCCCACCCCTCTCATAACTTTCTGAAGGTGTAGCCTATGTGAGATTCCTCTGTTATTTTCTTGTGCTAGTATCATGTTAATACAAAGTGGTTCATTTCATGCTCTTTTCCTCAAGAAAAATATTTAGATCAGATATATTAATATTTAGATACTTTTATGGCCATTACAGCATCTTATACACTTAAATTGATGATTTGTTCCAAAATGGAACACTTTATTTTGAAAAGCATTGTGTTAATTTATGCCTCTGTCAGACTGATAGCAGTTTTATTGCTGTAGGTCGCCAGGTCAATGTACTGTTGGACAATAGTAGGTGTTCCTGCATCTGCATATTATTGGTGGGTTGCCTAACTGGCCAAAGCTTTTAAAAATCCCATCAAAAATAATGTTTTGACGAGGAATCAGGAATTTTCTACTGCTAAAATGAATATACACTGTAAAACATATTGTTTGTTTAAGTTAAAGTAACCTTAGTTCACTGAAAATGCGAGTCATAAAGAAAGCGATTGGTTTAATCAACAGAATCCTAAAGTGTTACAACATATTAATTATAATGATTATAATTATAGTTCATTATAGTTAGAATAGTTATAAGTTGATTTCACAAAGAAAAAAGTTCTTCAAATCATGAAAATGATTTTTTACAATGTAGGGGACAGTATTTGGATATAATTTGCTGCTGCTCATCTTTTCATAATAAATAACGATTATAAATGCACTCATTTGTAATGCTGACAGGGGTTTCCATGTCATTTTTTTATTACATCACTATGTGGGCAACTTGCTCACAGTAACAGTAACTTCTCAATGTCATTCTATTGGCCGCTTCATGTCGCTGCTCATTTGCATAAAGTTATACTTGTCAATGCATTTATGGACACTTCCACATCACTTCCCTCCACCACAGGTGCTGTTGTTCATGTCACTGGAAATTGTCATTTTTTTTTTATTGAAAATGAGTAAGGTTAGGTCACTTTATTCCTGCACATAACTGTCAGTTTGATGCCATTTAGGCTCCAGTTTCCAGCTGAAATGCTGCTTTCCACCACAAAATCCTGAGAACTGAATACTATTTTCCGCTATTTATTTTTTACATTTTCATGAGTGGTAAAATTGAGGCAGACTGAGAAAGGTCAGTTTTAATGACAGTTTGCTAGTCTGTCCAAATGTTTTAGTAAATTGCTACACAAAAACAGTGACCTGTTTCTCTTTTTACAAAAAAACACCATGCAATTTCCTGTTGAGCAACAGGTGGTCTTAAATATGCTCTCAAGTGAAGTAGAGAACCCGCTCCTCTCTCTCTCTCTCTCTCTCTGTGTGTGTGTGTGGCCATCTGTAGGGAATAGAGCTGTAATATAACAATACAGGGGATGTGGGGAACTGTGCAATACACTGCCGCTTCCTTACATCCTTTTAAATATGCATTAAAACACAATACAACTGTGTCTGCATGAAATGAAAACTCACACTATCTTTGTTGTAAATCAATGTTACAGATTTTATTGTGAATGATTAATCTGGGTATGGTTTTTTTTTAAACCTTGTAATGTTTAATCAAAACGTCATAACTCCGGTGACTTCTCTATGGTGATGTATGCAGTACTTCTCCAATCAACTGCAAACTTGCATTTATTTTCGAGTGCAATGCCAAAATCTCAAAATCCAATCAATAACCGATGAATTGAACCAAGTACCCACACTGTTTTTTTGTTGTTTTTTTGACAGCATTTGAATGTACTTCAATAACTGTTGCTACTTCTATTTCATTGCTACTTTTAACTCTATGGACAGCATCTGTGGTAGGCTATTGATTTACCCCTGAAAATGATTTAGACTTGTTTCTTAGTTTAAAAAAAAAGATGTTTCGGCACCTCAAATTCAGTTTAAATTCAGGAGTCCTTATCTGATACCATAATGATTCTCAATGAAATCTCAATTTTTGTCTGCAGAAGTGTAAAGCCAGTTTTGGTGGCTAGCATGTTTTATCGTCATGCATCATGCAGCTTGTTTCCTTGGCTCAACCTGAAGTCTTGTTCCTGAAAGTATGTTCACCCTGTAGACTTCCATTGCAAGTGCATCACTGTAAACACATTTCTTGTTTGTTTCAAACTGAAGGATGTGGCAGAATCATTCTGTGAGTATAACCTGCATGTCACAGATGTTATCAGTGGATGTTACCCAGAATATTCCTGTACAAGTGTACGGACTCCGCTGTATATTGTATGCAACATATGGCTGCAGTGGCAGCACTGCTAAATACTGCATCAGTAGTGATTTGGCATATATTTCACCAAGGTGATATTGTTGACCTATTTTTTAATTATGGACATTAAAGGTGACATATCATGAAAATTGGACTTTTCCAGGTTTTTTAAATACTGCATCAGTAGTGATTTGGCATATATTTCACCAAGGTGATATTGTTGACCTATTTTTTAATTATGGACATTAAAGGTGACATATCATGAAAATTTGACTTTTCCAGGTTTTAAGTGCTATAATCAGGTCCCCGGTGCATCTACCAACCAAGGAAACGTGAAAAATATTAACCCAGTAACTTTGTTTTGGTAAGCCTTTTTCTGCAAGCGTCTGGAAAACGAGCGCGTCTGATTTCGCTCCCCTAGTGACGTTGCAAAGGGATCTCATTATAATATTACCACCCCTTAATCTGTAAGTTTCCACCCACGGTGCCATCATTTTGATTTTGCAAGTGACAACGGTGTACTAGTTCTAATGCCATGGCGAAAGTTTGTGCAAAACATGCAAACTGTTCTGCCTTTGGCTGCACAGACGAGCACAAAACACTATTTACAGTCCCAGCCTCAGAGGAGACCAGACAGCAGTGGATTTATTGATTTATTTACATTGCTGCTGCCACACAGATCTAAAATAAACATGCAATTTATTTCCCAGCTGTTTACCTTCACAGACATAACCGACTGTTTTGTAACTCATGTGTGTTTTTAATGTAAACTTGTGTGTGAATGAGAACTTTGAGTTTAGTACTCACATGCGGTGACAGCCGCTTTCTGTCCGTGTGCTTCGGATGCGTGCGCTCAGAAAACCGTATATCAGAAGTTTAAACTAAGACGGTTTAAAACGCATGATTTTAGTGCGATAAACATGGTAATCAGAAAAAAAAACATGTTTTATAGCAGGTACAAGCTGTAATGGCGCAGCTCTATTCTGGAAAAGGGGGCGGGGAGCAGCAGCTTATTTGCATTTAAAGAGACATGCTCTAAAACAGCGTGGTTCTGCTTCCACTCCAAATAGGCATTTTCAAAATGTTATAATAAATGATCTGTGGGGTATTTTGAGCTGAAACTTCACAGACACATTCTGGGGACACCTGAGACTTATATAACATATATTGTAAAAAGGGGCATAATATGTCTCCTTTAAGTTTTACTGTTTGGTCAATAAGTGTCGGAAACAGGACTTCTATCATTTTGATAGCTCTGAGAACCACCCAATTGCAAATGCACATGAGTTCTCATTCTCCATCTTATTTTACTATCTTTGTTTAATAGTTTTGTCTGAAAATGGAAAGGCAAATACTATAATATTTCTTATTATACAGAAACATGAGGTCATTGTTCATTATGTGATTTGCTTTAGTATGGCTCTCATTCACTGACACATTTAACAGCATCTCCCTTGTTTGGCCAGGAAAGAGCCCACACCTCTGTGTTTGGCCGCCCCACCCTTCATTACCCGCTGCTTTCCCTCAGCAATCCCTTCACAGTTGCTCTTCCCAGGAAAATGGCAGCGTCCACTTTGCTTTGACTTTAAGAATGATTGCCTTTAGTCAGTATTTTTGTTATCAATCAGAAGTTACTTAATTTTTTTTCTTTGACGCATGCTTAATTTGGACTTTTTATGGCTAGTTGTTGCTTTATCTGACATTTTCTGTGAGAATATGTGGGAGTGAGAGAGCCCTTTTTTTCTCTTGAAGCACATAAATACTGTACAGGATCTCTTGACCCCTGGGTCACAGCTGTGATATCAATGAAACAAGCACACACTAAGTCCATTGTCACACTAAAATGAGGAAAGGGAGACCGCTCTTTTTGAAAGCACAGCCCCATTTTGATGCCTCATCTTGTCTGTAATGTTTGGGTAATTGGAGATTTTGGCTGCAAGGTCCATTTCCTCGGCTCCAAATGCTTGTAGCAGCCCCAAAAGTAGGATATGAGGGCACTTAAGATCTTAAAATGATTGAATGTCATTGCATCGGGTAACTAAAATAAGTAATATTTGCTTTGATATTAGGAATGTAACAATTCACAATGCAATACAATTCACTATACTGATTTCACAATACCATTTTCTCACATTTTTTTAACAAATAAGATAAATGTCTTCATATACATAAACGGAGGCTGTCCCTGTGCTCTTTCCATTTAAAATTAGAGGCAGCCACTGCATTTTAATACTGATCCAAATGAAGATACAGCATACATGCAGCATGAGCAGTTTTTAATCTAAATTTTTATGAAATAGTTTGTATAATTTCAAAATTTCTGACTTTAGTTTTATAAACTCCTACATCCAAATGTATAGCGATTTGTTTAACATCTCAACCGGTTTGAATTATCACATATTTGCATTGCTATTCAACTGGGTTGGGGTACATGGTTACATCCCTATTTGATATTTTAAGAAATATAGCACAAACCCACTTTTCAAGCAGGATATTTAGCAATAAGATGTTTGGTTGGATTTTAAATGCTTCGAAACTTTCTGGTGTCCAAATATGACAAATTTTGTGTGACAATATGAGTAATTTTTCGATTATTTCACATTCGTTTTGTATTTGTTCATAAAATAAGATCAAAGCTCAAACAACAGGACAAATACAATACATGAAATATTTTTATGCCTGTTGAACAGTAGCATTCAAGTACGAAACTGAATCAAATGTAAAATAAAACTGCATAGCTATATGAATTCAATTATATGCTGATTTTTATTAAAGCTACTGAAGTTATTTAGTTAAAAACAGTGAGTAATTTTCACTGTCTTTTGCTATTTGATTAACATTAGGGACCCGGACCTCAGCAGGTTTATTAGGCTGCTGTCACTTTAAGACCTGATGCACAGAGTCAATATATTAATACACAGCCGATCTCTATCTCTACTGTTTATGTGAATACTCACCAAGATGGCGGTGTATGAAATGTCCATTTAAAATTATATGCTATCTGAGAAAGGCAAAATTTTAATAACTTGAAAAACTTACTTAATATCTTGAAGCAACGGTGTGAATGTGATGTATGTGTGATGTATCAACAGTTAAAACTCTACACTTGAAAAAGACCCAGATGAAGACTTTGCAAACATGAAGAGGTTCATGGGGGTGTTTCTGGGTGAGTGAGTTTCAGACAGCGGCTTCCTGTTGAGAGGTGAATCGGCTCAGTCTGTTAGTGGCTGTGGCACCTGATCATGGAGGTCATCCTGTCATTCCTCCACTGCAGCTGAGCATGTAATGGAGCACTTGGCTACTGCATGCTGTGAAACGCTCTTTCTTTATGCCGGGGCTTTTCCTGTCTTTATCTTTCTCCCATAATCCAATCTTTTTTTATATGTTTTTAATGGTTACATGAGGTGAAATGTAGTTCTTTTAGTTTTTGCTGTCACAGTGAAAGACTGCTGAGAAAGGGTGGGTGAAAGTAGGTGTGCCTGTGCCTTTCTCAGCATAGTCAGATATTTCAATGTGGTCAGATAAGCTCCACCACTGATTTGCCTGTGCTTTGCCCATCTGAACTGGTGCAGATGCAGGAATAAACATGTACAGCTGGTTGTTTCATGGTATAGTCTGTTTTTAGTGAGATTAACATTTAGATCATATTCATTAATAACAGATTTGAGAACAGCTGCTTTTCCGTAGTCGATCTACAGTCTTCATCGGTCTGTCCAAGTATATGTGACGCAATGCATAATCGAATATTTGGAGGATTAAATGGACATCGTGGTCACTTGTTACGGTCAATTGTTACCAGTTAATGTGTACTTGCTGGATAAAGCCGTGCTACAGTCACATTTTCTTGGTCTGTTTGTCTTGCAAAATAAGACGGGTATGATTTTAAATGAGCTAAAGCATTTACATGACTTTTTAAAGAGAAATTC